CACATCAAATGAGATGGAATATGAATATGTCATGAATATATCAGCTAAACTATAAACAGCTATTTGAATATTTATTCTAGCCTTTAGACACCTAAATTTAATGCAAATTCCAACCTCTCAAAATTAAAACAGAATGTTTTATGACACAACCCAACCAATACTTGGTGTTTGTATCTTATGTCATTAGTAGGTAGCAGGGCTCGAAATAGAAAAAWTTGCATCCTGCCATAGTAAAGGAGCATGCTAAAAGGTGGTCATTCCAGTAAATTTTGTATCATTATTTTCACCTGCAAAACTTAAAATTTGAAAAGTTGAAAATTGGCCTGAAATTTGGCCATTGGCAGGCTGCTATTTTGAGCCCTGGGGTAGGAAGAAAAGATTTTCATTCAGGACTGCTGGCTAGGTAAAATAAAATAAATCTTGCTTACCATAAGAGTATCGTGCCTGCTACCATTAGTGGTCTTCTCTTACCATATGGAGAAATGAGGCGATCACTGAAAAAATTGAAATTACCAAATCAAACTATTGACTACTTAGTAACTAAAAATATACATTGAAACGATTATTAGTACCAACCTTTTCATTCCAATTAATGGACTAATGAAAAATGTCACCACAGCCCCAGCGGCAACCATGGCTCCCAAGACTTGCCCTTTGCTCTCAGACCCAACAAGAGCATGAACTTGTGATGGCACAACTAGCAATAATAGCAAAATAAGGCAGGTTGCTTAATTTGCTTTATAATGATACATCTTGACATTCAAAGATTCACTCAGCCCTCCATTCATTCATTAATCTACTCCCATTTATRCTATTTCCTCTTCATCCACCCAGAAAATAATCCATCTATCTATCCACCCATTATGTCCTCATAACTTTTTCATTTACTTATTAATTTACCAACCCAACCAGCAGCAATCAATTTTATCCCAGTAATTCATTTCCATTCACTCATTCATTTACAACCCCAGCCATCTACCAATCAATCTCATCCCAGTTATTCACCCATCCATTTTTTTCATTAGACAATTTGTTAGAGCAGTAATTCATACAGAATACAATGTTATGATAACATTCTAGAATAGGTCACTTACCTTCCACAGACAGTATCAAGTACATAACATTCAGACCAAACCATGAGATATTGAGAAAGAATACTCTAGACTTTGAAAGAGAAACTGTATCCTCTGAAATTGAAGCCCGCCTAAAAAACACATAATTTATTATAAATTATTATTAGTTAACGTCAGCACTTCTCTCTCACCTCTGGGGTCTCAGGTTTGATTCCTGTACTCAGAACCACATGTGATTAGAGCTTGTTATTTCTCTCTCATGATTCAAGGGTTTTCCCAGGTTCTCCAGTTTCCCAAACATTTCTTTTCTTTGATTTAACTGTGCCCTGACTTTCTACAGCCCAGAGGTTGTTCCAAGTTACCAATAAGTTTTTTTTGTTGAAGAGTTTTAAGACATCTGGCATGGCATATAAAACATATTTTGAACCATTAAAACAAAGCTTTACTTACTCTTTGTTTAAGTTATCTTCAGCTGTTTCTTGCTGGCTAGGTTCTACAACAAATAGAAAGCTTAAAGATATAAAAATATACCATATATATGATCTAGTAAAGCACCTATCAATGTTGGATATAAAAAAATAAGTATAAATAACTATGCAAAATAGAGAGAGCTAGCATGAATGGGACCCATGCTAACACTTCCCTTGAGGATGCACAGATAAAATAAAATGAAATAAAATAATATACTATATATGTACTTGGCACCATCATGTGAGGGCAGCCATGGCAGGAGGCACAACAATAGTCTTTTACCCCCTGGTAAACTGTATACTTTATCATGTAAATAAGATAAAAAGCAGATTCAATTGTTCATGCCTCTTGTAATGGCTGCCATTACATGATGTATCAAAGCCTCTATAGTTAGCCTAATTGATACATGCTTCATGATTATAATCGTTATAATTATGATAGCAATAAATTTGATATAAGGCGTAATGCTGTTGACATATTCATATGATAGTTCATATCATAGCAATGAAATAGTTGCTCACTGAAACATAAGTACCATAGCATTGAAATGGCTTTTTACACGACAAATGAATGGCTTTCATCAGTTTTTCTTGTCTTCTTTAAATGATAGTAATTAGTTATAGTGTTCATAAAAGTGTAATTTGAATGAAAAATCTTGAGGGGAAAAGCAAAGATTTTTTTTTGGTAAAGTAAGTTCGTTTTAAGAAGAAAACAGCCAAAACGCGTACAAATAAAACCAAAGAAAACTGCTAAAATGCAAATCTCGAAGAAATAAAATTCGTGCACTTAAATTAAATTCGTTCCATTTTACTGGAACTGTAGTTTTGAACAAAGATAAATGAACTAGAATAAATAAATTATTACATTTCCGATTCCTGTTCAAAATTTAAAGGCAGCTGATATTTATTTTAAAACTCAAAGGAAATCTGAGCCGTAATCAATAAATCACAACCTTTTATCGGCTTGAAATTCCCATTTCAAAACCACTAAAATTTCAGGGAGTATTCGGATGGTTAATTTTTTTAAAGATTTTTTTACAGATTTAATAACCTTCCTTCGTAAATTAATGAAAATTGATTGTTCTGAGAGCTACGTTTTATTTGTGGTCAAACGATAAAGTAATGTGAAATCTCATTTGTGAGACTACGCTTTAAATGAATGAGGTTTTATGACCAAAGCAGAGAGACCCCAAACTGTAACAAGGTCAAATCGGAGCTCCTGAAGATATAATTTTAATATTTACTTTGAAAAAATGCATCGCGCTTAAGAAGGTATAAAACATAAGAATTAGACAAAATGCCTTTTCTAACTCTACCTTTTTCTGAATGAATTCTCCGCATCTTCATCTCGTTTCCTTCACTGTTTTGGAAATCAAAATATACAAGTCATGACAACCTTCACGATACGATAACTATCTAATAAAGCTCAAACCGCTCGAGTTTTCTTACCTTGATTCCATGATTATCGTAACGGAGATTCACGGCGCGATTACTTATAGTGAAGTTCTTTTCATTCCTAAGTAATATCCCTCGTCATTTTGATCAAATATTGTTGTATTTTGCGCGAAGAATTCAACATCAGGTCATCTTCGTTTCCGAACTTCTGATATCACATCCTCGTTTCCAAGTTGTTGATACACTTATGCTAATTAGATATTTTGTCTTATGGATGGGGAGGGTGGTGGATTGTCGCATCATAACACAGGTAGACCAACAATATATTTATTCGAGAAAAATATAAAGAAATAGCTAATGATGTCATCGTCCAAATTAAGCTTATCTATTTATACGAAAAGTACTTCAGCTGACAGTTTTTTATGGTTAACATAGTTCAAGTTCTTTTTCTAAGAGTACTTGCATAAATCATACCAACTAAATATCGTAGAAACAGTTCTTTTGACGAGTAAAAAAACCCTTAAAACTTATTGTTTACGAAACTTCAGCTCATAATTATTATTGCTGTTACTGGATGCGTGATAACCATTTTTAAGGTATTGTTGTTTTTAGTATTGTATGCGTGTTCATGTGGGCGGTGAATCACGTACTGATATTCTAGCAAATAAACAAGTTAACGCTCTGCTAACGAGCTGTTGGCGCTCAACCCAACGGTCGTGTACTTAGCCAAGGTTTCCCAATAGATCGGAAACAAAGTTGACATAGACTCTAAGGTCTAAGTAAAATCAAATATTCAAAAAAAAAACACATTTTATTGGTTTTTTTGGAATTCGCACTGTGGGAAAATGGGCGAGGAGGTGTGCCTAAATTGGGTTATTAGAGCTTATTTTAACAACATAACAGACACTTTAATTAGTCCAATATTACCTACAATTCGTTGAGATCATTTACAAGTTATTCTTGGCGTCAATGGACAGACAGTGTAATTAAAGTCATTTCTAAATATACACCTACTTGCAAGAAGGTTGTCATACAAGAATGATAGGACATTTGTTATTTAGTAAATTAGTGATTTAGTAAATTCACAAATTAGGAATAAATTGTCACTGACATCAGACTCGAATTCATCAGTAAAAAAAAGATAATTTTGGACGACATGATGTAACTGGCATGCAGATGAAGATGTAATTTCAAAGTTAAAGCGAAAATGAAAAAATAAAAAATAAGATCAGTATTTGTTTTTGTACGTTTCTGCTCGTGTAACATTGTGCAGTAAATAAATAGGTTAACATAATAACAATACTAAAAGAATTTCCCTTTAGACTGGGAAAACTAACGTAATTAAAACTACAAATTCTAGCGCTGCCTGGCGTTTCTGATCTGTTAGCATGATCTGATTGGGTGACCTAATTGCCGACTCATGCAGACGTTTGTTTTTTTTTTTTGTATATACAGCCTTGGTTTTCTTTATCCTCTTCTTACTTCTGTGAGTTTCATTCTAGCGATTTCAAACTGTCGAATTTCATCATCAAATCGTAGTTGCGACAGTAAACTCAGTTGACTGTATTCCTCGGAGATAGCTTTTTCTTGCTTCAATTTATTGTGAATATAATCAGTCTTTGTTTTTGGTCGAACTCCGAGTTTCTTTTTGTGCGGTTTTGGTCTTCCTTTCTCGCCATTCCCTCCATAGCACTCTTGGTTAACTTCCCAAAAGTGGCCCTTTCCATTAGGACATCTTTCTCCTTTGATGAAGCAGTCGCTGAGAGATAAGTTGTGCCGGATGCTATTGCGCCATCCGCTTCCTTTCGTTTCAAAGTACGGGTACTTCTCAATAATTGCTTCGTAGATATCTCCCAGCACGAGATGCTTCTCCTTGGAGCTCAGTATTGCTTCTGCTATGAGCTCTACATACGAGAGCTTTGGTTTTTTGTATTCAATTTGAGTCTTTGTCTGTTTGTCCTTGTCCTGTACGATCGATTCTTGTGGAAAACAAAGTTGGTTATACAAGGGTCTGTGCGCGGACCATTGTGATGGCGTGTCTTGTATAATATAAGGCTGTATGAACATCTCGTGGAAGCAACAAGCGCAAGGACTCCTAGAGTACAACCCAGTTTGTTGAGGTATGAGATCAGTTATATAGCTTTTGTGGAATCCTGGTCCATGTGGGATCCCATAATGAGCGGCCTGTAAAGGGCTAAAAGTAGACATAATCTACGAGCATAATCTTTCACAGCTGAGATCAACGTTATGATAGAGCTCCGAGGCAGAAAGTATTTTAAGTAGGAATAATTTTAGTCTGCTCCTATTTACGACATTCACTGCTCCAGGGGCTAATATCAAAGTTTTCCTGTCTTGACACTCGTAAGTGGAATGTCGGTCATTACGTGGCGAAGAGCCACTTTATTCTTTTTGAAAATCAATTTCGTGGTTCGATAACCATGATTATGAAAAAAACCGGAAAATTCCGAGTTCGAGTAAGCATACTGTCAACCAGCTCAGTCTAAAGCAGAATTCCTATCACAGAGCTTTAAAAAGAATATCAACACCTCTATGTAACTCGGGCTTTTTAAATGTAAATCTTCTTAAATTCCATTTAACAACGCAAAAAAACTTGCCTGAATATCGCGCTAAAGACCCCCTCAAAAATTCTTATTTTCTGTTAATTGAAATTAACTGCTTGTTTGAGCTATAAGATATATTTGTTTGACATGCTGTAACGTTTTGAAAGGTAATCTCAAATATGACGCGCAATTATAATCAGTACAGGTCAGCAAGTCAGTCATTCCAATGCGTTTTACCTTCACTTGCTTAACAAATTGTGAGAGTAGCGTTGAGATATGTTAAGTTACAACGAAAGAAATAAAGGAGTTCTAAAATCAATGCAAGTCGCATTTAAGTTTCAGTCACTCACTAAAAACAATTGTGTCATTCGCTTTAGAAAATTGTGAGACTGTATAGGGGTGAGATCAACCATGGAAGAAATGCTTAACGTTTCCAAAATCAAGACACAAATCTAAGCCTAACTTTAATGGTCATCTATATTGGTACGAAAAGATTGGTTTTCATGGCGGCCATGTTGGACGGCACAAGAGAGGAAGGATGTACGTTATACTTGCTTTCAATGACGTGAGTGTCTAGAGCTAGAACCCTTTGCACTTGTCAAGGTGAAGAGTCAGCGGTTCTATGTATAGATGGTTTTCATGGCCGCCATGTTGGAAGTCACAAGAGAGGAAGGATGTTCGTTATATGTACATCGATAACAATATACTTGCTTTCAATGACGTGAGTGTTTAGAGCTAGAACGCTTTGCACTTGTCAAGGTGAAGAGTCAGCGGTTCTGTGGGTAGACGGTTTTCATGGCCGCCATGTTGGAAGGTACAAGAGAGGAAGGATGTACGTTATACTTGCTTTCAATGACGTGAGTGCCTACTAGAACTAGAACGGTTTGAACTTGTCAAGTTGAAGAGCAAACAAAGCTTCTCGTTACAAATTTTAAGGCTAGACGATTTTCACGGCCGCCATTTTGGAGGGCACAAGAGAGGAAGGATGTCTGTGATATGTATGTCGATAACAATATGCTCGCTTTCAATGACGTAAAGGCCTATTAGAGCTAGAACGGTTTGAACGTTTTGAGGTGAAAAGCAAATTAGTTTTTTGTTACGACTTCAGTTCTGTAAACGGTTCAGTGTTTTCTTTTCTATATAACTTACTTTAGAACGAGTTTTTTTAAAAGCTTTAAATGTTACAACTTTGAAATGTCGTCCATTTGCATCCATTCTGATATCTTAACTCCGGCGAAAGATTGCTTTCATTATCAGTTTCTTATTGACTTGTAATGAAAGTTATAATAATAATGAAATAAATTGGGTAACACACAACAGGCAGAACGAAGCCTGGGAGTGGATGAACAAACAATGAATGGTGAGATAAAACAAAGAACGCAGCTCACATATAGAACAATACATATTGTTCACCATAATCCATGCTTTCTTTGTTTTTGTTATTTTGCCCAATCCCAAGCTTCGTTCTACTAGTGGACACCGACCCAATAAATTAAGAAGTAGTTACGTGATTGGATCATGTGTTAGGCTTTAGGGCTAATCGTTGTATGAGATGGTAAGTCATCACGTATAGTCTACTATATAATTTTTTAGTTGCGCTTTCTCTCTAGTAGGTAGTCGTGCAAAGGATTGTGGGTCAAAATGTCCAGCCTTTTGCTTCAACTTTTTGGGCTTACGAAGTTTTGCTATAAAAAATCTTTTTCGTTTAATTTTTTTTTTTTTTTTTTTGTCCAAGAAAGCCGTTCTAGAGATAGCTTTCTGAGATGTATCTAGAGTTTGTAGTCGAGTCCCTCGATCTAATATCACTTCCAATTATTTG